GAAATCATCAGTACATAGATATAAAAATATAGAGCAAGTATAACAGTTTTTCAAATAGTACCCTAGTTATAAACTTGATTTTTAAAAAGCATAAAAAAATGTATATAAAACACACTGGGGCTAACTCTTGGAATCTCACATAAACAACGCTTCTTTAAGCAACAAACTATAGTTATAGGCCATTTATTTACCCCAAAAGATCTGTGAATTAAAAGAATTAAAACTGGAAAAGAGTGTGGATTATGTATGCATTACAGTAGGGGGAAGAAAGAAAGAGATATGTGGAAATAGTTACATCAGTATATTAAAAGGAAATGAAATGAATAATGGCTTATGTAGTACTACTATTTCTGAATCCAATGGAAAACGTGCCCATTGTTAGTTTCACAGTCCCTAGTGGAACCCTTAAGGTCAGGAATTTTTAGAGGTTTAAAGTGCTAACACTTTAAAATATTATATTAATACATGGACCTACGTAGCACAATAATATTAAATAAATACTTGAAAGATAAAAAATCTGAAACACTCAAAACGGGAATCCATCACTAAGATACTTCATTCAAGGAAATTAAGCAAGTCAGTCTCACTTCCAAATGATGGAAAATCTACCTGACAAGTAACAGTATAATTCTATAATTCCTTATCTATTATATAGCACATGCTGCCAAATATATATTCAGATTAAAATAGTAACACATGTACATGTCAAATACTAAACAATATTTCTTTAAAACTTGGGCAGCATGCCATATGCAAATACATTTAACATTTCTGCAGCAAAATCAAAATACTCAGAATGGTAGGTAGGAAATGCAGACATATGAATATAACAAAGCAAAAGGAAGAACAGAGTTCAAATGGATTACACTGCGCTGAGATATTATGAGATTAGTCCAGATTACTTTCCATGAGTTGAATCTCTAATGAGCTTTGGCACAGCAAACAAAAAGAATATAAAGAAATGAAAAAGCTCATAATCCCTTACTCAACATATGCTCCTTCTGAAAATCACGTTAGAATCCAGCCCCTTTTAATTAAATTTATTAGAGAGCACCCTTCAAGAAAATGGCTTAGGTATCAACGCCTTCCCTGGCATTCCCTCACTGCTCTCCTTTGTGTGCTAATTTTGAGAAAATTTTAAATAGAGACAAGGAGACAATTTTTAAATAAAACACAAAACTAGGTTACAATTCTCAGATAGTGACTTTAAAAAAAAAATGTATGTCAATCCTGAATTTCTCATGTGATCTCGAGTAACAAATCATAACATCTCATCCCTCTCTTCCAAAGGAAAACAACTCTAATTCTATGATTCAACAATATCACCATATCACATAGGCAGTATTCTTTCCAGCTAATCCATAAGCAGTCTAGCTTTTTTTTTTTTTTTTTTTTGGTACCGGGGATCGAACTCCAGCCCTTGCCCTTGCAAGGAGGGGGAGGGGGATGGGGGGGCAGAGACAGACAGACCTAATAGCTATGTTAATTCAGGACATAGTAAAAGTGTCTGCAGAATCATTCCAATAAAATAATTCACTAGGTGGGAAGGGTGGGAAGGGAAGAAGATTTAAAAAAGAAACAAGCTGTATTATGTACACATACCCATTTTTCAAGATAAATATAAACTTTAGGTACTATAAATATGTACTGATTTTTAAAAATCATTCTTTTTTCCAAATAAATATTTCTTTTCTCAAAGTCTGTGAAGTATGATATTGGAATTTTAATTGGGATTGCACTGAATCTATATAGCAGTTTTGGAAGTACGCATTTTCACTATATTGAATCTTCCTAACCAGGAGCAAGATGTCTTTCCATTTTCTCATATTCTCTTCATTCTCTTTTTTCAGAGTGCTATAGTTTCCAGAGTAGAGGTATTTGATTTCTTTTGTTGGGTTGATTCCTAGGTATTTCAAGTTTTTCTATGTTGTTGTGAAGGGAGTTGTTTCTCCAGTTCCTCTTTCAGTGAGATTGTTGTGCATGTACAGGAAAGTTAGTAGTTTTTGTGTGCCGACCTTGTATCTGCCTACTCTACTGAATTTGGTCACTCTGTCTAGAAGACTTTTGGTAAAGTTCTCAGGGTCTTCTATACAGAGTATCATGTCATCTGTAAATAATGACAATTTGACTTCTTTGTTTTCCATCTTTATTCCTTTTATTTCTTTCTCTTATCTAATTGCTGTGGCTAATATTTTCAAATCTGTATTGAACAGGAGTAGAGATAGTGGAAATCTTTGTCTTGTTACTGATTTTAGTGTGAAGAATTTAAGTTTTTAACCATTTAGTATGATATTGGCTGCTGGGTTTTTCATAGATGGCTTTTATCAGGTTGAAGTAGAGACCATCTATTCCCATTTTCTGTAGGTTTTTTTTTTTTTATCATGAGAGGGTAATGGATTTTGTTGCACGCTTCTTCTGCATCTATTGAGATGGTTATATGGTTTTTGTTCTTGGCTCTATTAATGTAGTATATTCCATGTGCTGATTTGCGAATGCTGAACCGTCCCTACATTCCTGGGATGAATCCCACCTGGTCAGAATGTATGATCATCTTGATGATGTTCTCCATTTTGTTTGCCAGTATCTTATTGAGGATTTTTTTCCATCTGTATTCATTAGTGAGACTGACCTATAGTTGTCTTTTTTAATTAGGTCTTTCTCTGCTTTAGGGATCAAGGTGATACCTAACTTCTAGGAATGAATTCCAGAGTACTGCTTCCCTTTCAATTTCACTGAAGAGTTTAAACAATAGTGGCAATAGTTCTTCTCTAAATGCCTTGTAGAATTCAGCAGTGAAGCCATCAGGATTCGGACTTTTCTTAGTTCATAAATTTTTAATCACATTTTCAATTTCATTGATTGATATTGGGTTGTTTACAATTTCTAGGTCTAGAATAGTAAAAGCAATTCTAGGCAACAAAGACAAGGTAGGGGTATCACAATCCTCAACATGAAACTGTATTACAAAGCTACTATGATTAAAAACAGTATGGTACTTAAAGAAGAAGGAGAAGTGGGAAGGGTAGAGGAAAGGAAATAAAAGAAAAAATATGAAAAAGGAAAAAATGGAAACAAGGTCTTTTTAAATAGGGAAGGGTAAAGGAGGTGAAGGGAGGACAGGGGAATGGGGAAAAATAAGAATGAAGGTACATCATATCCCAATCCGTATAAGATCCCAATGATGAATTTAACTGTATGGTTTACCTAAAATGTACCAATAAACTTAATGGGGGTGGACCCAGCACCGTACTGGCAAAGAAACAGACCGAAGGATCAGTGGAACCTTATAACTGCAAAGTCCTGAGTTTGACTCCTGTTACTGGAAAAAATACAATACAATACAATACAGTACAATACAGTACAGTACAGTACAGTACAGTACTTGCCATGTACCAGGTTCTTCACAATTTTTTAAATATTTTAAAAATAAAAAATAAAAAAATAGGACAGATGTGTAAATACCAAATAGTCTCTCTGTGTGAGAAACTGAAAGTATAAGTAAGGATCAGAAGGAATAACAGATATTGTGAAATAAGAAAAAAAGGTCCCAAGGGGAAGTGGAAGGGATTGGAGAAAGGAAAGAAGGAAATGGGATTAATATGAGAAAATGGAAAAATGGAAACAAAGTCTTTGTACAAAGGGAGGGGTGGAGGGGCTGAAGGGAGGCCAGGGGAATGGAAAAAAAACAAGAACCAAGATAGATTATGTATGTAAAGGTACAAATTTTCAATGATTAATGTCATTATATAAAATGTACCAATAAAATTAATTTTTTAAAAACCATTATTTTTGAAACGCTTCCAGAGACATTTAATGTTTATAAACTAAACCTAATTTTAGAATTTGCTTGCATGGAAATGTTCTGCTACAAATGAAAAGATAATCAAATCTGCACTGTTGGTGCTGCCAGTTTATGAGGAGCATCACCTTGCATTCCTCCAATCCTTTTCATTTTCTTCAAAGTTCCTTTCAACAGTACTGATAAGGTAAAAAAGAAATGTGGTACAGCCTAGCAGTGAACTTATACTAAATATAAAAAACAACTACAAAATAGCTAAAATGAATATAGTATTAGTATCTACACGGATCCATTAAGATTATTCTTTTTTTTTCCACCCCCTGGATCAAACTCAGGACCATGCACTTGCCAGGCAGGCTCAGCATCACTGAGCTATATATATTGTTGGCATAAAAATCATTCTTTTTAGGTGCTAGGAAGAAAATCATTTTAAAAGTAACTCTAACGCTACCTTTGCTTACCACATACTTATTTTTATATTATTACAGAATTTATGTACTGTATAGTAAACATCCAAAATTCTAGACATTAAAATTGCACATTAATGTATTAAAATTATGATGTTGTGCCTGTATAGGAAACAATTCACATTTGCATGTATTATCATGAATCTCGAGTACAGAATGAATAAGAATACAATGATAGCCCTTTAAAACATTTTTAAATGATTCCTTAATATCTAAACTAAAATTAAAACATTAAAATGTTTTTAACTTTTCAACTGTACCTGCTTATCCAAGTAAGTGCTCTTAGAGCCTATCTTTAAAAATCATTATTAAAAAGCACAGTGCTATACAATATACAACCTATTTCAGTGTTATACAGTATCATACATACAATCTATTTTATCAATTACTTTTTTAATCAAATTGAGAAAAATACTACGTAAGTAAAGAATATTACAAAATGCAGGTGAGCTGTTTAAATATGCTAAGGAAAATAAATAAATAGGCATTTTTCACTTTAACTTCATGTTCTTCTGCTAATAATATAAAGATGTACTAGAGTTACTGACCAAAGTACGGCAAGCAGTTTATGTGTATTATCATTGTTTTGAGACCTGCTTAGCAATATTTATAGTCAAATTTTTTAAAGTCACTTTTCAATGTATTTGAAGTAAAATTTCAGTTTCTAAAGGAATACTAAACATATAAAATATGTGATGTTATAATCATTTGAGGGGGAAATTTTATAATTTTACCTGGTCTTGGTACTGGTTGTGCTGCAGGAGTCTGAGTCTTACGGGCAGATGCACCTTCCTTTAAAAGAATAAAAATTGATATACAACATCAAATAATAGTTCATAATAGTTAATACTCAAAATAAATCACTCATCTGTCATTCAACCAGTCACTCCACCAAACTCTAAAAGTATTTTAAAACTACAAACTAACCAACCAACTAACCAACGAAAACAAAAAATTCCAAAACAAGTAACTCTTATCCAGGTATAGTGACACATGTTTATGATCCCAGTATTCCGGAAGGCTGACACAAGAGGATCAAAAGTGAGTCCAGCCTGAGCAATACAGTAACATAGAGAGACTCTCTCAAAAAAATAAGAAGGGCTGGGGATGTAGCTCAGCACAATTGCCCTATATTTAATCCCCAGCCACCAAAAAACAAATAAAAACACCAAAACGAAACCTCTTTATCTTTGATGTTACTAACTGTGGCATACAGTAATAGATATTTCTTGAAATATAAATTTAAATTATTACTATAGAACAGCTACTGAAAATGTAACATATTTTAATGATCTACTTAATGCTGACATTTTAATATGTCTTTAGCTGCCTTAAAATCAAGTCAATCTGCTTTAGTATAACAATAAACAGTTCTTCATAAATATTATCAATGGTGTTTAATTATATTACCTTCTCTTTAATATTTGAGATTTTACAAAGTAAAATAATTTGGATTAGCAGATGGTAGGTACTACAGCATTTTTCCTTCCAAGCACTGGAGATTGAATTTAGGGCCTAACACATGTTAAGCAACCACTTACTCTAGCACTAAACTACAACTAGCTCATTTTAAAAATGAGAGAGAAAAACTTTATTCTAATTTCCCCTAGCTGGCCTCAAATTTGCAATCTTCCAGCCCCACAGCCTCATGAATAGCTGGGATTACCAGCAGGCATGTGCCGCCATGCCTGGCTCACAGCATTTTTTTTTTTTTAAGTAAATCACTGTAAGAATAGTACCAAAAAAAGAAAATGCTTTCATTTTTAATATAGTAGTATTCTTAGCGTAAGTTTAGAATGTCACAGAAACCATTCTTATTGGAAGAAACAGTAGCCACAGCAATTAGGAAAAAAAAAAAAACCTCACTGAAGACACAGCATCATCTTTCTCAAGTAAATCACATTCAAATAAAACTTTACATGTAAAGAAAGGTGAGTCATTATAAAGGCAATAAATGTTAAATAGTATCATTATGAGATGGGAAATATCTAATTATACTTGTCTCTGAATTTAGGTTGGGGGAACTATTTGTTTTAATTCTTTGCAATCCCAGTTCCTACAGCATAGTGTAGGCACTCAACAAATGTTGTCTAAACTGAACTGAATCTAGTTTCTGTAAAATCAGAAGCCAAGGGATAATCACTAAATATAAATCAAACTGAAGAAATGTTAGCTTTCAGCATAAAGAGAAATAGACTAGATATTGTATAATAACATAACCAAAAAACTAACCATATTCCTGATTAATTTTAATATGGAAATACTGATTCATGAAGATATGCCACAAATATAAACATAAAGTGGAAAATTAAAAGAAATGAGACAGGAAGAACAAGGAGCAAGTACACACGACAGGCATCTTCATCCACATTTGACTATAATGCTGGCTGGATACAAATCAAAGCCATTCTTCTCATAGAACAGCATGTGTTAATTCAAAATTACAACCAAACCAAGACTGATTCAACTGACTGCTGAAACATACCGATATGAACAAAGAATACAGCTTTTACCACACAGGTCTGGCAAAATGCATGAACAAATAAACATGGAAAAAATGTCCCATTAAAAAATACAACTCAGGAATTTTTGTCTGGTTTTGAATAAGTTCAAAACTTTATTTTTTAAAAATTCCAATAGTGGGTGTTTTCTGTTTATCCAGTAAACAATCTTTGTTTAATGATCCAATCACTCCTTTCCAGCTATTAGTCCTATGCCCCTGGTCACAGGGAAGGACTAATGTGCTAGAGTAGGTTGATCAGGAGTCCTTCCCTGGAGTTATTTTTTTATAAACTAGAGTTGACTGGTAAGACATCTGTCCTTAAGGTGAGCTAGAAGCTAAGTGTGGAATCATTCATTATCATGTCCTGTGACTCATGCAAGAAATTCATTAGCAGGATAAAGATAAAATGCAATAAAGAGAACTACAACCTCCCCATACAACACCTACTGCCTAGTTCTAGTGGCCAGCAAGATCTTTATTACCTCTAACCACTCTTCACTACAGAAGCCATGATAAAGTCCCCTTCTCCCCACTGTATACATCCTATAAACACCTGTTAGCCTCAATTAGTTGGGATGAATTTTTGTCATTTGAAAAGCTTTATATAATGTCTTCTTAGATTTGTGGATTTTGAGTTGTGAAAGTCATTATAGGTAAAACTTTCCTTCATTTTTGAATTAGTGCACACACACACAAACACACACACACACACACACACACACACACACACACACACAGTAGCAGACAGTTAACTTCTTGAGAAGAGACTGGATCTTTACTAGTCATGCCATTGGTCTATGGCCATTTTCCAGGACTCCTTAACTACTTAAGTGTTTACCTTGAGCATCACTCAGGTAGCACATTTGTTTACATACTGACCATCCCAAGCACCACTCAAGCAGGTGTCATTTCAACCAGCTGATTCTTGTATTGAACAAATTTGATAAAATTATCATTTATATTTCCTATTATATTGCTTTATAAAAATTAACAAAAAATATGCAATTTTTTGTTATCCTGTACTTAAATAATTGGACTGGTATGTGGGTAAGCCAACAATAAGAGCTAAAAGGGCAGTCTACTCTGATTCCATTAGTTTGAAATAAAAGTGTCACTGCATAAGGAACCTCAAAAACCATAAAATCCAACCTCACCACCCTCTGCTCTAAAGATGAAGAAGCAAAGGTGAAGCAGTTATCAAAGGCTACACAGCAGTGTTGTGGCATGTATTAAAAAACAGGAGTAGTAATTTGTCAGTAACATGGAATAGATGGACAGGTTCTATATTTTTTAAAGACACTTTGATTGGGAGAAAAAAATAGTAACGACTTGGGAAAAGAGAGGTATCAGCACAAAAACCAAAAAAGCTAGGAAGTTGTGCTAATTGAAGAGGAAAACTTGCTTTCTCTTCAAAAGTCAAAAGCATTCTAATTTCACTAAGACTTAAGGCATTTCTGGATTTGAAATAACTGAATTACAAAGGAAAGAATAAAACAGCGCCAGAATCATGTTTCCAAGTACAAGACAAAAAAGTTTGCTGTTTACAGGTAATTCTTGATTGACTTCTTTTAGAAAATTAGATAATCTAAGATCTTCTGGTACTGGGAAACGAGAGTACTAGTATTTGCTGCTGTTGGGGAAAATAGCATAATGTATAATATTCTAAGAAAAAGGACACAGCAAGTGTCAGTATGAAAAATACACTATTTTGTATTTACATGAAAGTAAAAGACTGAAAATCTCTAATGAAAAAAAACATACAAAATACATATAGACTCTAGAATTTTATATTCTACCTTTCTGGCTGTTGTATTATTGAGAGCAAAAAAATCACATTTTAAAATTAAACAAATGCAAATTATACACTTCTCTTTGTTTATTTAAAAAAGTAAATTATTCCTATGAAATTTGGATTCAATCATCAGAATTCTGAAATAGTAAGATGTGAAAATAAGCATTTAAATGTTAAATTACATTAAATAAATTTTTTAAAGTTATATGGAAAAATAATTATAGGAAAGGGAAACAGCAATAATGGGGGACAAACTACAATGAGAATAAAAAACAGATTTCAGCAGCAAACATTTCAACACAAATAGTAAACAAAAAAAAAATTTTTTTTAATGATTTGTCATAACCTAGAGGCATATGTACTCAGGCAATAGTTAAATAAAGAATAGGATTTCACACCCTTTAAACATGCAGATAAAAGATTTTGAAATTTGAAAATATAAAATAAATAACCATCTCTTTCCTTCCTTCAGCAACTCTTTCCAGATAAGTAAATATTTAAATGTCTCGTCATGATCTCACTAGCCACCTAATAATAAAACAAACCGGTAAAGGTAGAAGTTATAGATTAAAAAATATTAAGCTAAACAAGTAACTTGTCACACGCCACATATCTAGTAAGCAGCAAAATAAATCCAAGCCTTTTAAATTCCAAAGCCTATGCTTCTAACTACTATAATTCATTACCTCTTCTCTGATGACTTTCACTTAGAAATCTTTGCTTCTTCTTTCCTTCCATAAACAAAATATCACACACTGGGTAATTGATGAATGAGAGAATTTTATTTCTCACAGTTCCAAATGCTCGAAATCCAGATATAGATGCCAGCAGGTTTGGTATGGGGTAAGAGTGGCTCTCTGATTCCAAGATGGTACCCCCTCCACAAGGGATAGACGTATCCTCATATGGCAGAAGGCAACTGGGCAAAATGAAATTAAGCTACTTACCTACAGACCTTTATAAGGCACTAATCCATTCACAAAGTTGGAGCCCTCCAGATGGAATCATTTCCCAAAAGGCACATCTCTTAATACCAACACAATGGGGATTAAATTTCAACACATGAATTTTGGAAGATTTTCAGACCATACACCTTACTTTGCCAGATAATTATTTACTTGTCTTTCTCCCACAACCAAACTGAGCTACTTGGGTCCAGAACTATCTATTCTGCCTCCAATACCCAGCTACACGGCAGGTACTTAATATACGATATCTAAGACAAATCCTTTGCTTTCCAATCATGACTCGCCACTATTACACTAATTTGACTGCTTTTATCTTAGTGAACATGGCAAAAAATAACTATCATACAGGATTACATATGAAATAATATTCATTCCACATACAATTCTCAAGAATATATACCTGTACCAAATATGAAACTAGGAATGCAAAGAATAAATAAGAGCAAGAATGACCCTGCTCTTGAGAGGACTGGAGTCTAATGGAAAATAAATGAAGTATGTTTGCATATATATGAATGAAGTACAACAA